TTGTATATATATTTTTAGTTGGTCAATTAGTTTCTTTCTATTTTTGGTAGAGACGGGGTCTCGCTCAGGCTGGTTTCGAACTCCTGACCTTGAGCGATCCGCCCGCCTCGGCCTCCCAAAGTGCTAGGATTACAGGCGTGAGCCACCGCGCCCGGCCGGCATATATTGTTTTTAAAAATCACCCAGTCTGCCAGGTGAAGACTCAGATTCCTGTGGGTTCCACCACTCTTGGCAAGTAAGACCTTCCACATTGGTGTTTTCTTGGTTCAGAGGACACGAGCAAGAAGAAAGGGAGGAACTTGTAAGTGCCTGAGATAGAGTCCTATTTCTGTTTGCCAAGCAGTGTGCCAGTTTTTTATTTTTATCGTGGAATACAGGTGAGGAGCAGAAAGTCACAGTTTCAGGTCACCTGTCCAAGCACCTTGGCCAAGGGCAGTGACATCAATATAATTACTGCAGTTCCAAGGACTCGTGGAATCTCCTAGAAGCCACTAGCTAAATTTACCCCTGGCCCCCTGTCATAAATCACCGCCACACAGGAACCTGCTTTTGGATACTGTATTTACCAAGTTTTAATTTCTCTCAGATTCAGGCCTTGAAGGTTTTAAAGTTAAAAAAACTAGAAAGAAAAAAATGATTTCCAAACTTTGATGAAAATTAAGGGAACAGTACAACTGCTGGGTCTTAACTGTCCACCCTTCAGGGCAGGTGAGATTTAGGCTAAATCCTGAAGCTTAGTTTTTTGTCCCTCAACTCCTCAAAGTGACTTTTCTCCCAGCTAGAAATCTCTAGTTGTTCGGACTCTTTAACCCTTTCCTTTGGATTTTACAAGTTTTCTGAAAGTGTTACTGTTTCCAGTGTGAACACAGTTATTTTTCTCCTTCACACATTTCGGATTATCCTTTTCTGTGTTGTGCTGCAGGCGAGTTCTTAAGTGGGTCTTTATTACCTAATATCTACAGTCATAATCCCTTTGGGAGTCTTAAAGTGTTTTACAAACATTCTAATTCTTCAAGTTAAGAAAATCAAAGTCTAGAAGAGTCAAAACGCAGGCTGGTTGGTATCCACACTGAGAATTAAGGACCCAACTGTAATAATAGTACCCAACGTTTATTTGGTTCTCACTACGTAAGACACACTTTATGTACTTGTCTCATTTAATCCTAATAAAAATCTTATAAAATGGATACAGTACTGTAATTACCCTCATCATATAGATAAATAAACTTGCCTAAGTCTCCCATCTTGCAAATGGCACTGGTGATATCTGAACCAGGTAGACTGATGCCAAAGCACGTGTGGTTACAAACATTACTGCCTTCCCAAAGCCTGGCTTTGAAATGAATCTATGATTTTGCCACATGTAAATATGGCAAAATATTTTTGATGGCTCACTTCCATGGACTTATTGAGACTTTATTATTTTAACATAAGTTCACCTTCACCTTTGAGCCTTTGGTCCACCCCAAGAAGGCCATGAGTCTGATGATGAAAGCATGATACTGTTAAATAAAATGCTGTCTCTTCTTGGCCACTATTTTTCTTTCCTAGGACCTGAGAAACAAGGCATGCTAAGGACAATATGAATTTAGTATCTATTATATGTTCTCCTAATACAACACTCGTGACTCAACTCTCTGGGATGGGATTTTTAGATCCATTTCTCATAATGGTGAGGGGATGGTGTTGATCTTTCCTCACTTCCCTGCCAAGCTATTCTGTAACTAAAAAGGCATGTTCTTTTGAGTTGAAAGATTATAGTAAGAGTTCAACCTGGATATGGAATCAGGCATATTCCAAATCAGTTTTCCCAATGAGCCACCAAGCTGTAGATTCACTAGTGGTATTAGCTGTGCTTATAAACTAAATCCCACTTTCTCAGTGTAGCATTCCATTATCACATTAGTCATTCAGGGTTGGTGAAAGCATTTGAAACAGGAAAAGAAAATTGTTCCATGGAGACAGAAACTCTTCCAGTGTCATAAAATGTGATACTGAGACAATTAAAATACGTGATGTAATTGTATTGCTACTAGATGACAATCTAAATGGTAAATAGGTTTTATTAGATTTTACTCCCTTGATATATATTTTTCAAAAGATATTTTAGAAATATTTCAAAACAAGATTAAGATTTAAGTAGTAAAAGTAAGCCAAAAGAGAAAACTATGAGAAATAGAGACAAGAATTCAGAATAATTTTTACCTAAAATAAAATCAGACAGTTGGAGTCTCTTATGGGAGTTTACCCGGCTTTAGCAAGCTTTGATAGCCTAAGTTTAAAGAATTGGGCACAAAAGAGAGAAATGTGAGTGAGAGTTTATAAGAGTCAATCATCTTGGCAGCCCTGAAGTTCATGAGAAAGTCAAAGATGGGAGTTGGAACGGTGGTAAAAGAGGTGTGGTGGGAATGGGTGGGCAGAGAAAGCCCGTTCATTGGTTTATAAAGTATCAGAGGGGATGTCTCTGCAGGTGCAGTGAGGATGTTCAATGTTTCTTCTTTCTCCCATAGTGTTCACCTTGTTTCAAATTACTCATTGGTGACTATGTTTAGATATTCATTGAGTGGATGAGTCCTTGGATTAATAGAAATATGCTATGTGAACCCACACAGAATAAGACAAATTGCTATATAAAAGTGTGACCTTGGGCAAGGCAACTTCAAACTTCTTGGACGTCATTTCTTCACCTTTGAAATGAGCAGATTGTGTCACATAATCTTAAATTATGTCACATAATCTCAAATATTCTTCCACCCACCTGGGTTTATTCTCATTTAGACACTAAGGAGTGGTATTTAGAGTTACTTGTGCTTGTGTCCTTTCTCTCTACTTGAGTTATACAATCTCGAAGGACAGGTCTTTTACTTCTTTGCATTAAGAAGAGTGTCCTGGTAGATGTGCACTAAATATTTCTGGTTTAGTAGATCATAAAGATAAACCCTCTTTGGTCTGTGAAGTGTCCACCTGTCTGTGCTTCTCTCCCTCTAATCTACCCCACCCCCTCTTCTCCAGTCATTTGAGCATTCAGTCATTTACTCTGAGTTCCTCCTGTGTGCAATATTCCCGAGAACTACAAAAGTTCATGACCCAAATATGCCACTAATTTTGTGCCTCTTGACCCTGCTGGCTTAGAGTTGAGGAAATCAAGATACATGGTCTAAAAAACAAGACAATATATTGAAACAGAACTATCTTGGAAACTAGGGAACTTGTAGAAAGTCACAGATGTGTCAGCTTATGGAGATTCATCTATGCCAAGCTCGGACTTTGTGCTCAGAAGTATTAATCTACCATGTCTAGAGTGTCCTGGCGGGGGGAAAGAGTGTGAGAAGAGGGAGACCAGTTAAAACACTGAGGAAGTAGTGCACTCAGGTGGTGGAGAGGGCCTGGACTGTAAACGAGAGAAGAGATGGGGCCTGTGAGCCTGTACTTGATGGCCCCTTTGTCAAAGACAGTGCTTAAGACATCTTATCTACGTTGACACCCACTCTGCTTCATGTAACAATGCCAGAGATGTTACCTGCATACTGAGAACCCAGGATGTGGGGTTGGGGTAGAGACAGACAGAAGCACACGTCCAAGTGCAGTGTGCTAAGTGCTAATGGGGATGGGGCTGCACAGAGGAAGTGACAGATTTCCTCCCTTTGCCTCTGCAGACTCGCTTCGCTGTGCTGCCCTCCAGGAGGCTGACCTGCATGGGCTGCACCAGTGCGGCCCCTTGTTCTTGGCTTCTGGCTGCATACCAGAGGGCAGGGGGAGAGGGGCCAGAGTATTTATTCCTTACACTGCAAGGAGGTTAACCTTGGGACAGTTGTGTCCCTCAACCAAGAGGCACCACTCCTGTCAGGTGGTCACTCCTACAGGGCTCTCTCCTTCTGAGTTCTGATTTCTACTCCCTTCTCTTTTAGGCCTGACCCATAACAGCTATGTTATCGTGACCTTTTGTGGTTTCCCTGTACCCGAGTCAGACCTTTGAAATTAGTTCCTTCATCCCAGTCTGGTGTCTCCCTTATTCTTGTTGGGATCCTCACTGATACATCGGACTTTTGAAATAAGATAGTTCCATCTGGAATATTCCCTTCTCAGTCCACACCTCTCACAGGACCACCCAGGGAAAGGGCTGCAGCTCCACTTGCCCCTTCACCTTCCAGCTGCTCTCACCTCCCTGTTTCTCTACCAAGTGGCCAAATGCTCCACGAAAGCCTTTTTCTGCCCAATACCCTCAAGTTTACATCAAGGTCAAATGCATGGGGCCTTAGAAAAGAATGTCAATTTCTCTCCACCATAATTTCCAAGATTGCAGAATGAAGATAAAAATAATGCTAACTTCACAGGGTTGCTGGGAGAATATAAACAAATGTGACAACCTGTAAAATCTGTCTTTCCCACGAAAGATTATACATCGGTGACTATAAAGAATAAGCAGGCTCTCTCCACCTCACCCTACTTTGACTGGTTTCCAGGAAGTAAACCCTACTCTAAAACATTGATGAGAAAAATAATAGCAACTGATGCATCCCGAGCATTTTCTCCCTGCCAGGAATGGTTCTAAGAGCTCATTTAATCTCTACAAGAACTGTATGTAGCAGAACATAGTTCACCCCATTTTACAGATGAGGAAAAATAAGGGCACAGAGAGATGGAGTAACTTTCCCAAGGTCAGGAGCCAGATTTGAAAACTAGAAAGCTCAACCCAAAGTCACTCTGTGTGTCAATCCCTTTGCTACATGGTGTCACTTGCTTACATTCTCCTGCGACATCATGCGAAGACAAATCACAGAGGTGCAGGGGGCCACCATGCATAAGACATCGTGTGGAAATTATTAAGCGACTACAAGCGACTACAATGAAGTTTTGCCCTCTTTTGGAAATTCTTGTGAATTACAGTTGAGCTTAGGTGTCACGCTCCAAACTTAAACCTACCCCACTGCGTCCGGGCGGCTGCGTGTTCAGCGTGTCAGCGCGGCCAGGGACCTCACGTGTCCCTCAGGGTCACTCACCTGAACTCAGCGCGTGCTGCACGTCCCGCAGGATCGCCCTGGGGAAGGCGGTGGTGGCCTCCGCGTCCGCCAGCTCGCACACCGCCTTGCCGGGCACGGTGGCGGGGGACGCCTCCCCCCGGGGCAGCGGCTCCCCCGGGCTGTGCGCGGAGGGGCTGCGGCCGGAGGGGGGCTCCTCCGTCGGGGACGCGGGTGTGGCTGGAGCCCCCGTGGGCTGCGTGGCGGCCGCCGTGGAGCCGTGTGTGGTGGTGACGGAGGCAGAGGAAGCGTCGTCAGGTGGCGAGGGCGACAGGAACGAGGCTGGAGCTGGAGGGGAGGTGGGCGCGGGAGGCTCGGCGGGGGGCTGCGACCCTGTGGGCGACGCCGCGGGCGACACACCACGGTCCCCGGGGGTGACTGTCAGGAGGACGTCACCGCTCGTTGAGAGGAACCCGGGAGGGGCCGCGGCCGTGTCTGTGCCCTCCCAGGCGGGAGCCGTGCCGGTGGGCTCCTCGCCTCTGGGCTCCACGGGCGTGTTGCTGGGAAGCGGCGACGTCGGGTACGTCGTCAGGGACTTCGGGGTCGCAGCCGCGGGCGCTGCCGCTGTGGTGCCGTGAGGGCCGCCGCCGGCTGAGGAGGCCGCGACCGCGGCGGGCGTCTGTGGAGAGCCGGTCCCTGCGGCGGGCGGCGGGGTGACCTTGGCCGGCACAGCGGCAGGCGAGGAGGGCGCCCAGGTGGGCGCGCTCTGCACCCTCCACCCTGTGGAAGAGCCGCACAAGCGCGGTTAATACGTGAAAGCTTCGTGATACACGAAACTGAGGCGACGCCTGGCCCTGTGGCTGTGTGTATTCTCATTTTGCACGGCGCCCTCCCCAGTGGTGAAGGTGACTTTACAATGTTTTCTTCCCACTAACTGCTCCCGTCCTGCGAGTCTTGGAAGGAACCAGCCCGCGACTCAGTCAGGGAAATTAGCGGGTCTGTCAGCCCCAGACCAGCCAGGACATGGTAGGAACCGACCTTGTCTCCTGCTTGCTTTGAACCGTGTCCTCAGGGAACGGGGCCCTCAGGGGAACGGACTTATGGGCATTTGTCTGGGCTCAGGGGTCAGCGCCACGACGCCGTGAGATGTGACGCTGCGTGTGGGGACAAGGAAGGCAGGTTGGTGAGGAGTGTGGTACACAGAAACCTGGGTCCTGCTCTGCCCCACAGAGGAGCTCACTGGATTGGCTGCTCCCTGCCAGAGGAGCTCCCTGATTGGCTGCTCCCTGCTTCCGGTGTTGTCTGTTCTGTATTTAAGCCCAGGGATGCAAGTGCTATGGGCCTGCCAGCTGGGATGGAGAAATATGTGAGCGCATTTTCTTCAGAGGAAAGAAAAGGGAGAGGCCTCAGCATAAAAGCTGGAAAGAGTAATCTGAAGTTTGGAAGTATTTTCTGAGACTGGAAACCAGTTGTCCCACATTCTAGCCTGAGGTGCTTATCAGCATGTCATTTTGCCAAATGTTCTCCTTCCTCATTGCCTCCGTTTACCCATTGAGTTTCTTTCATTCATTGATTCGTCATGATTTGATAAACGGTTACTCCGAGCTAGTACTTTGCTTGGGCTTAGGGTTTCACTTTCCAGGTAATAATACATCTCTTGACTGCCCCCACGCCCCTTTATCATCCCCCAACTAGCTTTTGCCCCAAAGCCCTCGCAGCCTTTTCCAATTCAGTAGAGGGGGCCCATCCATATTCGCTAAGCTGCCCAGTTAAAGACCGAGACAGCACCCTTTTGTGCCTCTCTTTCCCTCGCACCCACATCAAATCCTTAGTGAGTCCTGATGACTCTACCTTGAAAACATGATCGCAATCCAACCACTTTCCACCACCTCCCCCAGATGTCACCTGAGTCACTACAGTCACTTGCCTAGATGATTGCAATAGTCCAGGTTGGGCTTCTGGCTCCCAGGTTTCCTCCCTTCTAGTCTGTTCTCCCATCTTCTACAGTGGTCAGTCAGATCCGTGTCATTCCACTGATCAAAACCCTCCAAAGGCATTCTCTGTCCCACTTAGAACAAAACCCCAAATTGCTTCTCTCTCCCATCCCATGTTCTCCTCATCATTCTGATGGGTCTCTACTCAAATATCACTCCCTCCCCAGAGAAGTCCAACTAAATCCTAACTAAAATCCTTGCTACTCCAGCCCCTTGGACATTTAAAAAAAATATTTTAAAATTTTTTTTATTGTGGTAAAATATATGTAATACTTACCATTTTAACCACTTTTAAGTGTATAGTTAAGTGGCATTAATTATATTCACATTGCTGTGCAACCGTCATCATTATCCACCTCCAGATTATTTTTATCTTCCCAAACTCAAACTGTGCCCATTAAACAACGAAATTCTTTTCCCCCCACCCTCCCTAACCCCTGGAAACCACCATTCTACATCCTATTGTCTCTATGACTTTGACTGTTCTAGGTAGGTATCTCATATAAGCAGAGTCAGACAATATTTGTCCTTTTATGACTGGCTTATTTCACTTAACACAATGTCTTTGAGTTTCATTCATGTAACAGCATGTGTCAGAATTTTCTTTCTTTTTAAGACTGAATAATATTCCATTGTATGTATAGATCACATTTTGTTTATTCATTTACCCATCCATGGATGCTTGGATTGTTTCCACCTTTTGGCTATTGTGAATAATGCTGCTATGAACATGGGTGCACACATATCTGCTTCAGTCCTTGTTTTCATTTTTTGGGGGGCATATTCCCAGAAGTGGAATTGCTGAATCATATGGTAATTCTATGTTTACATTTTTGAGGAAATGCCATTGCCTTTGCTCATTTTTGTTTTTTGTGATACTAATAGCATCTTCCTAAAATTCCATATTTATTTATTCACTTATTTGTTATCTCTCTTTTACCAGAATGGAAGCTCAACAACAGCACAGTTACCTAGTCTTATTCATTGCTGTTTCCTCTGAGTCTAGGACAGAGCTAGGTCATAGTAAGCACTCAGTAAGTATTTGGAGAAGGAAGGAAGGAAGAGTGGAAAAATGGTTTAACCTAATAACTTTATTCAAGAATACTCTCAACATTTCTCCACTTGCTTCTACATATCACGTAGTCATTGCCCTATCCGTCATGGCTTCCTCAGGTAGAGCTGGCTATCTGGTGTACTTGAGGGAAAAATCCTCACTTAAAGATCAGCTTTATTCTTTGTCATTCCAACACAACATATCCCTATGGCTGATGTCTTGTTAGGTCTTCGACTTTTTAACCCAGCCTACTGTGTGGAGATTTCCTTGGAGGTGGCACATAGGTAAAGGCCAACCATCGTCAACAGAAGGAATAGAACATGGGCTAGATGCCAGCTAGTACAGAGGAAGGGAGAAAAGACCAAAGGAAGGCATTCGGGTTACCTCACCATGCTGGCACACAACTGACTCAGGAGCTGACGGAAAGTTGTGCTATAGAGTTTATCCTGAATTTAACATTCAGATGCTCATCAAAATAATTGGTTTTATTTTATTTAAAAGGGATTGGCCAAGACAATAAACTAAGGAGAGTTACTTTCCTAGTAAACAGGAGGATAGACCGCCCCACTTAGGCCACATAATAATGCATACTCATGGTCTTTTGGCAGCTGTGAACTAGCAATAGTTTTGGGATGAATACAGATCAAGAAATCTTTGAAATATGACAAAACAAAAGTTGGTACAAATATTATTAAAATACTGGATCTTCATATGCAACCTTTGGAGCTCACTGGTTTTGCATTCTGACAGCTCCCATGACTGATTGAAGATTATTATTATTATTATTATTTTTTAGAGATGAGATCTTGCTATGTTACCCAGGTGAGATTCAAACTCTTGGGCTCAAGTGATCCTCCAACTTCAGCCTCCCAAGGAGCTGGGACTATAGGTGTGCACCACTGCATTGGGCCTCTTTAAAGATTCTAAGGGCAAAAATGACAATGTTTAACTATTGCTCATAGCATCATATAATAGATAGGCAGATGGAGGCATAAAATGCCTCAGTCTGATAGTCAAGTCAAAAAGTCTTTGGAAACCTGAGATAAATAAGGAATAAGTCATATACAAAGGAGCACCAATTCATGAATTCATTCAAGCATTTATTGAGTAGCTTCTCCATCAACAGCTTTGCCCTCAGAAAGTTAACTATCTAGTAAGACAGAAAGGATACCCAAATTCCTGTTATAGGATGAGATAACTGCTAGATGAAAGTAAAACCAAGTTTTAATGGGAGCTCTGAGAAAAGATTAATAAATTTTGTGTGGGGACCATGGAATGTAAAAACGCACAACTGTCGTTTTCAAATGACATTTACAAAAGTCAGAGAAGAGATGGCATTTGAGTTGGTTCTGAAAAGAATAAGAACCCACAAGATGCCACTTAAGATATACGATGTTCAGGGTGACACCTGCATTTTCATTTCCAGGGAGCTAAAAGCTGTGCCACGGAAGTCATTACAGTGCTGAAAGTGACATTATCTAGGAATTGATTTTATTGCTGGAGACATCCATTTTCTTGTTTAATTCTTACTAATGTACTTTTAAAACTCCTATCATACCTGCTTCCAAAGAGGACTGGAGGTGGTCATTCATTTCCCATCGCTATCTACTGAGTACTTATTTAAAGAACTTTACAGTCTAGTTCAAGCAATTTCTACTACTAACAAACTAACAGTGCATGAAATTGTGTGACAACCTTGCTTATCTTCACTTGAGCAAGGCATTAAAGCCTCTTTTTTGCCCTATTTGATGGTACATTCCATATTGCCCTGACTCACGGTGGGTATTTTTTTAGCACAAACATAGCCAAGGCTGAGGCGTCCTGACTCCTAGAGAATGCTTGCTGTTAGTCTACCTGGGCTGTCATAACTAAATGCCACAGACTGGGTGGCTTAAACAACAGAAACATATTTCTCTTAGTTTTGGAGGCTGGAAAATCCAAGATCAAGGTGCTGGCTGATTCAGTTTCTGGTGAGGGCTTTCTTCCTGGCTTGCAGATGGTCACCTTCTAGCTGTGTCCTCAAGTGGCCTTTCCTCAGATGGCATGTGAGTGAAGATAGTGAGCTCTCTGTGTTTCTTCTTATAAGGGCACAAATCCCATCACAAAGGCCCCACTCTCATGACTTCATCTAACCCTAATTATTAATATATCCTAATGCCCCATCCCCAAATACCATCACAGTGGGCGCTAGGACTTCAACATTCAGAATCACTGAGATAATCTGAGAAAATATGGCTTCTGCTTTCTCATAGGTAGGACTTGTATTTTCCCAGGAATATCAAACTGGTAAGAATGTGTATACTTCCTTGGGATTTCAAGGAAATTCTAGAGCTAGAGAGGACCTAAGTGATGAGTGAATACAACTCCTCATTTGATGAATGAGGGGACAGGCACGGGAGGGGAAGTGATGCAACTCACCGCACATGTCTAAGAGGAAGAAGTGGCTAGCGTCTGCCTGGAAAGCATATGCAGGGACAGAGTCACACCAGCGCTCCCACCGTCTGGCCCCACTGACACACAGTGCCCAACCTCAGAAAAGCTGGCAGGACTTCAGCAATCACCATGACAGAGCAAGCAAGGGGAGCCTACATGAGACTGGGCAGCTGGATAACTTTAAAACAATGCAGCCCCCTACATGCCTTCCCACCCAAGGGAGAATCAGTTTCCTTTGAAAAAAAATTAAGAGTTAATATTTTCTTGAGAAACTAGGATGAAGAAATTGACTCCATTAACTTCTCAGAGGTGAAT